TATATAGGGCTAACCTCAATGTCTTCCTTTTCAAAATATGTAATCTACATTTTTGAATAAAGTATTATTATTGTGTGTTGTTACAGTGATGATGCAGCATTCTACACTAACATGTAATTCTCTCAACAAGACCACCCTGCCAGCAAACTGCTACTGTAGTTGTCATTTATTTCACAGACTGGAGAATGTTTGTCAGCACATTGAGACACAAATCCCTGTGATCTCAAAGGCAGAGGGGAAAATGAGAGAAGAACTTGAAACAATCCAACTTCGTGTAAACTTCTTACAAGATTCACTCGATCAGGTCAGGAGAAATATTATTCACAGAGTTATTGACCAATGTGGAAAAGATCAAGGGAGAGAATATATGGCTTGGATAGACTCTTTTCCCCCCAAAACCATATATTCTCTGTTAGACTTTGATCAGCCCAGAGGTTGTTTCCAGATAGATCTTTAAGTTAGCTGTGCCCTGACTTAAATCAGACCAGAAGTTGTTTCAGGGTTTGATCTGTAAGTTAGCCATGCCCTGACTTAGATCAGCAAAGAGTTTGTTTCAGGGTTTGATCTGTGAGTTAGCCATGCCCTGACTTACCATCAGCCCAGAGGTTGTTTCAGGGTTTGATTTTAAAGTTAGTCATGCCCTGACTTAGATCAGAGCTCAGAAGCTGTTTCAGGGTGTCAAGAAAATTTGAGGGGTTTTAAAATCTTGCTCTTTTCTTAGCCCTGGTCCTTTGCTTACTATCCATGACTGATTATTTGTGACTTGTTTTCCTATAGATTCGAGCCAAACATCAACACAAGACAAGACGTAAAAGTTCTGGCTCTTCTTCTGGGTCACCAGTAATCAGCGTCAAGCAACAAAAAAACATTCGAAGTGTTCTCAAAAACGAGTTAGTAAAACAGCATGATTGTGTTGATATATGCAAAGCACTTATTTTGGCCCATTTTGAGTTCTCTCTAAGCAGTAAAAAATAGTGGGGTGGCATGGGAACATTGACCACCCTCAGCAATAGCCAGTTGAAAGTGTCTTTTTTCAAGAGACTAAGTTTGTTTATGAGGGGAGTTTAAATCTATCCTACATCAATGTAATAGACCTATCCCGAATTGGCTTGACTGGTCACGAAACAATGGTTTCAAGTCGAGGCTGGACTTGATGAACAAAATAATCAAGTCCAGTCTCAATTTCAAACCATTGTTTCGCGGTCAGTCAAGCGAATTCAGGATAGGTCTATTATACTCTTTATGATCCCTTTACCCATCAGTGTTCTGTATTTATTAAGAGTTTTTAAAGCTACAAGCTAAAGCTGCTCAGATCAGCGGRAAAAAAACAAAAGTGTGAGATTTACAGACTGAGGGACTTTTTGCTTATCATGCAGCACAATTACCAATTTACTCCTCTAATAATAACATAAATATGATGTTTTCCTTTTAGGACAGACACCATATCAGACCTCATTAATCAAGTCAAAGACCTCAAACTACAAGTTGGTTTATGATGAATACGATAGTACTTTAAAGAGTATGAAATTATGCAATCCATGTCCAAAATACAGGTGTAGGCTACGATTGTATATTTAATGACTGTACTAAACAAAAGCACAGTGTTGATATTAGTGCTTCGATAGCTATGCCCTCCGTGAAGACTATGCCAAGTATGGCAATAAAAAGACAGTTTTTGTTTATATCACTGTGACCATGGAGCTAGAGGGAGGGTAAGATGGGGCTACTAACCTACTGAGAGATGTTTGCTAACTCAATAATGGTGGTCACAGCGAATGAGGTTGGCCATAATGTCATAGTAAGACCAATAAATTCAATTCATCATATTCAGTTCCAAGTTGTTAATTTATTTTTCATAAATAATCATACAAAATGACATAATTTATTTTTTTATTTAGACCTACATAGTATTCTACTAAATTTGTACACACATTTGGTTTTTTACTGCTTTAAGAAAGGGTATAAATCTATACAATTCATGCATGTCAGGTAATAAATATTAAGTCTTTTATTATTCATGCATTAACTTGACAAGACGAGCAGTTGCTCATCAAGACAGAAAGCTCTTGAAAGTTACAAAAATGTTACATGACTTTTTTATTGCATCGTTAATGCTCAGAATCTAGAGCAAAAACATGTCTTCCCTATAAAACTTTGTAATTGTAGAGTGACTATGAGGCAATAGCTCTTAGTCCAAGTTGGACTTGATGTGTTACAAGAGCCTAAAAGGGTCCAACACAGGCTCTTCCTGGAACATAATTTGGGTGTTTTTTATTTCCCAATATCAAAATAAAAAACGTATGCTCAATAGATATAGACCGTTTTCTCAAGGTTGTGTGCACATCCAAATTTAAGTAACTTGACGGGCCACGATTCCAAAAATGTGTATTGTCTTTAATTTCTAACACTATTATCAAGACTATTTTATAATTATTGAATGGCCATGAAACAATGGCTCAAAGTCCAAGTTGGACTTAATGTTTTCATACATTTACATTTACATCAAATCCAACCTCGACTGGGAGCCATAGTTTCACCAGGTCACTCAAGCGAATTTTCCAGAAGTGCCTCTTGTCTTTAAATCTTTACTACTGCTATTGAGATCATTTGATAATCCTATAATTTTGTCAACAAATGCCTGATAATGTAACCATATATTAATCTATAATCAGAATGTTGTTTTCACTTTGCTCGACCTGCGCAACAAGACTTTTTGGATGTGGGTTCATTTTCTTCAACTTTTTTGATTCCTGGCATCAAGAAAAAATACATATACACAAAAGATTTGTGAACAGTCCAGATATAATATAAATATTTATTCTACTGGTACTTTTTCCAAGTTAGTAAAACAATGTTATGCATTTTACACGAAGGGAAATAAGGGAAAGAAAGAAAGGGGAAAATGGGAAAAAAGGGAAAGAAAGAAAGAAAGTGGAAAAAAGGGAAAGAAAGAAAGAAAGGGAAAAAAAGGGAAACAAAGAAAGGGGGAAAATGGGAAAGAAAGAAAGGGGAAAAAGTGAACCTTGAATAGAAATAAATAAGAAATGGTTGCATAGAAGAAACGCCCACATCATTGCACCAGGGTAATTTATCATTCATTAACAAAAATGAAATAAAAAATGTTAAATGTCGCAGATGCAGGAAATAAAATTGAAAAAATGGGAAAAAGACTAAGAAAATGAAACAAAAAATGAAACTGGAAAAATGAAAGTGAAAAACATTAAATGAGATGGTTGAAGGTACACTTGAGATGATTGAGGGTACACTTACTAAGTATATCACCACCAATCTGTTTTGTATCGGTCTGTCGTAGTTCCTGTTGTTCTAGTCCTTGTAGTATAGCCTGTTCAAAGGTTATGGCTGCCATGCGAGAAAAGAATTCTACAACTTTTTCACCTGGGATTGAACATTAAGAATTTTCCTTTGATATAACTATCATGATTGTCTGTTAAGTTAATTTTCATTGCAGGATGGTGACTTGCTGTCTGACTCTTGATTGCATGGCTAGGGGCATAGCAAGGAAATTAATTTAAAATATTTTTTGGTGCCCAAATGCGTGGTGCAAAACAAGGTGATGGATAAAACACCATTTTGCATATGCTTGTCTTTCACTTCACCTGTGATCGTTGAAAGCAAATGATATGCAGAATGACTCAACAAAAGAAACAATTTTGGCTACTTTTTGGACAAAATCATTTCACCATCATAAATATTGGGGGTTGAGCCCCCCCTCCCCCCATTCCAGGCTCAATGCACACTCCCCTAGGTAAAACGAAAAACACTTTCTAGTTTGGTGTCCACTATATGACTCTCATAGAAACGACTTAAGAGAGTTCATAGAAAAAAACACCAGCATTAATTTCAACAATATGAGCGCTGACAGTCGTTTTATGTTCTTAATCAATTCAAAATCAGCGTCTCTACAAAGAGCCATATCAGCATACATTCATCAATGTATGCTGATACGTGAAAATGAATTAAGAAAATTACCTAATACATAGTATATATATATACCTATAATATATTTGGAATCAAACACTCACGTACTATTAGTATAAGGTGCCAAATAAAATTGTATTGTATTGTATTGTATAGGTACAGCCCTGACGGCAGGAATGGCTTATTTATTAATCTTAACGACAATAAGAAAAATATTGCTTATTTGTGCATGGGTGTTGTGAATGTGATTCTAACCTGTTTTAGCTGACACACTCCAGTACTCTGCATGCAAGTCTTGTGCCATGCTTATACCCCTTGATTCCATTTCACTAGCATCTTTTTCTTTCTACAATTATTAAAAAATAATAGACTATTAATTCACCGTGGGCCCAATATTTTAGACCAGGTGTCATTCCCTAGAGTAATATTTCTTTGCTTAATGAATGCGCATGTGAAGACATGAATAATTATGAGTACTACACAAACAAAGAATCTTATTCTCTAGGGTACTAACGGTATGCCAGGTGGTCTGACATGGGAAAGCAAATGCGCCCTAGGTTAAAAGGTCTATATTTACATTTAAGATTTCCTTTGGCTATTTTTTGCTTCAAAGTAATGTTGTGGTAGCGTCTATAAATGTCTATTGATGGCGTTTCATAAGTATTTGATGTTTTGAAAGGATTTTATGATAAACTATTCAAACTAGCTGCCATTCCATCTTACGATGGCTGGCTTGTTTGTCTGAGTCTCTGCAGGAGGTCAAAATTCATTGCATCATAACAATGTAGCCCTGTTGGTGCTCAATTACAAGTAATTTACAATGAGTAACTGGTTAAAAGTAACAAATATTAATATAACCACACCAAACAAGATATTATAACAGTTCTAAATTTTGGCAGGTACTATAAAGTCATGATAAAAAATAAATAAATAAAGTACGTACACAAAGGTCCTTTTTTGTTCCAACTAGAAACACTTCAGGATAGCTGTTTCTGTTGCTGTCGAGAGTTTCATCCAACCACCTTCTGTTGTGAATAAATTAAAAGAAAYATGCAATATGCAATGTATGCAACAAATGCCTATTACAGTTCATGGTGCAATAGGTCTAATCCACTGTTTTCCAATTTCATATCACATGTCATTCTCTAAAGTATCATTTCTTTGTTTAATGGTTGAGCATGAGAAGACACATGAATATGGACCAGTACGACTCAAACAAAGAATCTTATTCACAAGAAAATTAAACGTAGTCTGAAATCATAGAATATTATTCGTCTAGAGGTAGATTAGGTCCATTAAATAATTTTATCATTAATCATTAGTTTTAAAACACACTTGAGGAGCCAGCTAACAACAAGGAATGTTCATCAATCTGGAGTAATATTTATGTGTCATACACACTGATGCAGCTTGCAGCATGCAGATTACTTGTTAGCCTTTTTTCTTAATTGAGTTATATACCTGGTATTTTCCAAACTTCTAATACTGGTCATGTCGAACACAAGAATAATCGCTGGAGGAATACAAATTCAATATATATATATTGTAAGAAAAATATGTCAACGACACTGATTGAAATAACAATGGTGTCCCATTATCTTGAAAATCCTGGAGCTGGGGAAAAGGTTTGACGTGACAAGGTTCAAGATATCCAAGGTAAAATATGACTGCAAATGCAAATGCAAATCAATGAGACACGGCCTCAGGTTCAAGATAATAATAGAAAGTTCAAGGTATCCAGGGGTTTTAGATAAAGTAGACTTGCTCCAAGTCTTGCTTGCTGATTTTTCCCCATTGCAAGCTCGGATTAAAATAGTGCACTTCTGGTTATGATGGCGGTACTATTTCAATCTGAGTTTGCAAAGGAGAAAAAAACAAGGGATAATGAGATTCTATTTTGTGCAGATATTTGCAGTGTATAGTTAATCATATAAACCAATTGTAAAACCACTGACCCGCCTCAATTACTATTTGTATGTAAATTTTACTTTATTTGAATAAACTTGAAACTTAAGTGTATAATGTATAACTGGTCTTAAAAGAAAATATTTTTCTAAATTAAAACAAATTGGTGCCACAGTGATCAGTGTATGGACTCGGAGAACCTACCGTGCGCTCCCCTGTAATATGCTGCAGCCATACACTTGAAGCGCTCTTGTCCAGCAGTGTCCCATCTGAAAATACAAAATGTAGTTTTAAAAAGCTTTAATTCAAGGACAAAGAATTTGAGGGGTGGTATATATAAATATAGTGGTATTGCATAATGCCTGGGGTTTCTGGTTTGATTCCTGGATTCTGCATCATGTGTGAGTAAAGTTTGTATATTATAAAGTCTCTTCCTTGATTTGAGGGTTTTTTTTCTGAGTGTGTTCACCAGTTTTCTTTCTTTCATCTTGCATCATCATCACCATCACCATCATGATCCCATAATCATCATCATCGTCATCATCAATATTCATATTCATGCAAAGATGCACCTTATCACTACTAACACCAGTCCATACTTTATTACCAAAACCATTGATTAATGAAAATAACTCTGTACAAAAGCAATAATTATTGATTTACTTACAGTTGTAGGTTGAAATCTTGATCTAAAATCTTGAATCTTTCTACTTCAAAATCAACCCCAATGGTGGCCTTGTAGTCATGGTCAAATACGTTACGACAAAACCTGCAAAGAATCATAACCTAAGGGTTTACTCACATTATATGGACAGCCAGTGGTTTGCGAGCCCTTGTTTTTATGGTCTCTGGGTGTGCTGGTATTACACTCTATTTTTATTTGTGTGAGCAACAAAACTTCCATCAATCAAAAAATACTCTTAGAAATAAGGTCTAAGGTGATTTGGAGTTGTGCATGTAGTGAGTGTGGAGTGTATCATTATATTCTTAAACAGCCACTTTCTAGGGAGACTTGGCAATAACTGTCCATATCAAGGTGTTAAAAAACTTATAAAAATACTTATGAAAACCAAAAATGCTTTGGACTGATTATTAGCATTATCATTACACTCTAGATCTTTTCACATATACAGCTGTACCTGTTAATAAGACTCGTTTTCCCAACAGCGACGTCACCAATTACTATGGCCTTGCAAACTTTAAGTCTGTTTGAACAAAGAAATACTAGTTTAATAATAATAGTAAAAATTGTGTATAATATTGCTTGTAGGATGGAATTAACTGAGGGTTAAAGATAACAGTGCTAATTTTGGATGAACATTTTCAATTGACTGACCATTAATTACTGGGGAAATTGTACTACTTACCCAATATTGGCTGTGTTCCCAGACTGGCAAGCATCTCTGGTCTTAATGTGAAAGTTCCCATCCTGTCTTGGGGCAGCATCTTTTGAATAAGGCTAATTTCAAGCAAACAAATTAACACAATGAGTACCTGATAAATTGAATACAACAAAGTGTTGACTAAAAATTCAAAAATGAATGTGAAAACATAGAAATTTTCTGTGCAGGAGCTAACACAAGGAACAATAAACTAACTGGAGAAAGGTATAGAAAAAAATGATAAATGAAATTAAACTAAGAATGAAAAGAATAAATAGTCGAAAATGCTCAAATTTTCTGTCCTGGTCAAGCTGGACACAGGGAGCCCATACGACATCACAAGAGCTCCTAAATAAAAGTACTATAGCTTTTCTAAATAGCAGATGTTAAGTTAAATGGATTATCTGTCTCACAAAAACATTCTATGAAAAGCAACAGGCTTTTCTAAATTCCTCTAGCATTTTTTAACAGGAGTATATTGTACGAGTTTCCATGGCACCGTTGACGCTTGTCAACAAAGTAAAAATATTAATTAATACCAAAAATAAAATGCTTCAAATCGAAAGACAAACTACTGCGATAACTATTGCTTACTAGTTTTTGGAGTTTCAATTGGATTTAAGGAACTAAATAAGAATGTGGAATAAAGATAAATAAAAGTGTGATATAAGCTTATTAGGGTCGAATCTTCCGATACTTTTTTCGAGTTCATCGACCGAAGTCCAACTAGATTGAACAATGTACAAAAAATGTATTCAGAAAGCCTTAAAGTAAAACCAAACTGCTTATACCTACCTGTGGAAAAGAGATTATGGTTCGATTCTTGTCTCCACCGCCCATGCTTAAACCTTATTTACTTAAAAAAATTTATATTTTTTAAAATAGAAGCTGCAAATTATCCAAGGATCGAAGGTGAGTCGTCTTTACTGGAAAAATAGGATCGATGAGGCTCTCCTTCCGGTTTGAACGCTAGAATACGCCTGTACGCATTCTTTGCTTCTATAGTTTCAGGTTAATCTTGAAAAGTGAAAGCCGATCGGGACGTGATTTGCAGTATTAACCTAAGGCTTTGTGCTAGGATTTCAAAGATGGCGGGTTGATTCATCCGCTGTACAGCATCTGCGATCAATATCCATAATATATGGGAGCGGTGCACCCCAGGGGTGAGGGTCACTCGACATCGTGCGCATTTTGAGCCGCTTCGAAACTATATAAGAAATTTGTTAGGGGATTTGTTTTAGGGATAATAAAGGGATGACAAACAAAATGCCATGAAATACAGAGCCACTGTGGATTTTAAGCTAAGTCATTTGATTTCAAAAAAAAAAGAACGAGAAAACTGAACTAATAAAAAATAATTTCGAACAAAGTTGAAATGAAAAAAGAAATAGAAGATGATGAAAACCGACGTAAAATCATACACCTTCGTGATAGATAAAACTTCATCCTTTAAAGTTACTTTTTTAGGTGAAATATATGCAAAGTTGTCGTGACCGTTTAGGATAGAATACCTTTATTTAAACACGATAATATTCAAGGCTAAAAGCTTGTGGGACCGTTAATTTGTTGGCCTCCCCATTCAAGCTTCGTGCGGATTGCACGGCCATTATTACTGGGATGCCTGTGGAAGCCCAGTCATATGAGCTTACTTTATTTGGTGTCCTTTTGAATTTTTTGATAATTGTAAAACTCGCTAATTTATATTTTATACTCACTATTTTATATTCTATTATTTTAAAAATCAAAAAAGAAAAGCGAAAAAAGGAGCAAAAGCGTGAGTAGGTATAATGTTTAGGTCACCCATCCAAGTGCTAACCCTTCTCAGGCGAGCTTGACTCAGTATCTTGACGACAACGATTTATCCACTGGACCACGGTTCCAGGTGAATCAGCATAACAATAGCCGTGAAAACAGTGCACCGAATAGACTAGAATTTTTAACAGTATTTTTTCAACCGATTCCGTGCGTGGCAGAGATGCAAGGGATTAGCCGATATGGTCTGGGGGCCGGCTGGTCTCTCCCCTGAT